GCGTGGATGCGGCATAATTTTTTGTAAAGAAATTATTTTTTTCTTATTTTAATGTAAATATTTTTTATAACAATGTCATAGAATTGAAGTAATTATATTTAATTTGTGTATATTTTGAGTTAATGTGTCACAAGTATTGAATAGAAACTGTTATATTCTTAGCAAATGTATCATTAATAATACTTTTATAATATTGTGAGAGAGGAGTCTAATAAAAAAATACTTTGTAACATAGTTTATTCTATAGATAATGGCTATGAACATTTTCAGTAAAGTTCTGAAAAAAATATTAAAAAATCCCATCCCACTGTTTTTTTATTTGAAAGAGAATCGTATAGTAGGTATTACATTCTATTAATATATTTTGCTCATATAAATAATAATAATAATATAAATATATGCCTTATCCAAACATCGCGCGCAAGACTTTTAGTCATTTATAAGTTTTTTCATGAAATTGAGTGTGGCGTCCCGCGGTTTAATATAACGACGATCCATTTCCAGCAATATACCAAACTTTCACACGTCAACTTTTTGCATTTCGGATACATCATTTTTTATTACTCACCTTTTTGCGGTAATGGTGCTGTTTTGAAGTTCCTTTGATGTTCTCAAAGAATTATATTAAAACAAATGTCGGTGAAATTATTAAGCCAAAGTAAAATTATAATTTTATAAAGGTAGAAATTTTATTTTTATAAAGAAAAAAAATTTTATAAAGAGTATCATGCTCTTTACATATATATTTATAATCTGTATAGAAGATTTTCTACTGGTTCCATTAACCGATCAGTTCGATGGTACAAATTAATCGTGTTGTAATCGATTTCCAAGATTTAATCAAATGAAATTTATTAGTTACAGTGAAACTAATGAAATTGTGTGAATTTCACAAAAGATATTACTATATAGTACATATACAATATTGAATATGAGTTTATTGTAATTGTTAAAAATCATTCAGCGTCAATAGTTGCGCTTACTCATTCGTGGCTAATTTATTGGTTTTCTGCCCTGCAAACGATATTAGTGTACATTTATTACAGACTATATTACAAATATATGTATAAACAAATAATAACATGAGCCAATCTTAGAACCTATTTTGAAAAAGGTAGGTATAGGTATATCCTAATACTAGATATAGTACTAAAAATTCATTTAAATAAAATTATCTTTAATTAACATTCCGCTCGCAATCAGTAAGCGTTGAAAGATAACTTTCAAATTAACACCTTGCGGAAAGTTTCAAGCGATGGTAGGTGTTTTTAAAGTATGCTAATCTGATCGCCCTTGCCGACACGCTGTTTGGATCTGTCGATGATAATTCTAAGCCAGATTTACTTTGTTTTCTTCACTTTAAAAAATATTTTCAACATTTCCCGTCCTCAGTTTCCGCATCTCATCTTGAAAATAAACTTTTTCAAATGAAAATTATGAAGTAACATCAAATGAAGTAGAATATATTATGAATATGAATAATTATTAGCAATCGGATTACATTATAGGTGAAATAGTTTTCATATGTGTGTGTATGTGTATGAATTTTACTCCTTCCAGTCGTTTTAGCGTATGGCTGGATAGATTTTAGTGTTTATTACTTAAATAGACCTAGAGTAAGCCTGCTGTTAGTCACCTGGGGACGTAATCGAGTTAGGCAAGGATGATTCGCTAGTTTTATGCAGGTATTTGTTAAATTGCCATGTAGATTATTTAATTAAATACTATTTAGAATATTTAATACATTCGATATTTCATATTTAATTTCTTAATACCTTGTTCAGTGTTATAAATTTAAATATGATATTAATACGTCCATTACAATTAATCAGCTTATTCTCCTTCAAGCTTCTATAAAAACAAAGATTTCAGTTGTTTAGTTGAACGATTAGGGGGCCTTGATCTCAAAGGCTCCGATATCTTTGCATAACGCATGTCAAATTAGAGTTAACTATGTAATAAATTATTACAGGGTGTTTTTAGTTTATAAATATTTTCTAGTGTAACTTAATCATAGTCCTTAGTATGATGGTTCCCTTCAGATTTTCTGTGACTCAAACTGAGCCAAGTGAACACAAACTTCTTTATATACATACATACTAGCGGCTCACCCTCGCTTCGCTCGGGTTTGTTAAACAAACAAACACACTTTCACATTTATAATATTAAATACATATATAAATTTATAAGTATTGGTATACTTCTTAGGGAAAATACAAGATTAGACAGTAGTTATACCTATCTAATTGAGTGTTACTAAGAGTTATACTTGCTTTCATAAAACACGTTTATAAATTTATAAATATACAAATATTTAACTTTTTACAAACATTAGTTTTTAGTTTCGATAACTTTTACAGATAACAAAGATAAATATCTAAGAACTAAAGAAGTCTTCAAACAAAAATATCTTAGTGCACAACAAGAAATTCATCTAGAAACACCCTTTAACGAAAACGACGATTAACAATTTAATAATCTAAGTATAGTAGTGATTATCACGCAATTTAGTGTATATATGCAGAAATTCATCATACATTGCTATGTATAATCATTATGTGTAGAGTACTGTGTTTCGCTCTTCTCTTGGTTCATTGTTCAGGAAGCAAGATAAAAAATGATTTGAAAATACCCAATGGTAAAGTATAAAACATATTTATATACAACTAGATGACGATGAACTTTGTACTATCTAAAATTTAAATGAACATTTTCGAGTTTGTGCAAAACAAACGCATGGCGATTTATTTTTTCTAGTGCTTAAGTGTAGTTTAAGTTATTCTAAATATAGGAAAAATAATAAACGCTTAGACCGGTATAGAATTTTTTGTTCTTTAGCGATACAGTGATAATTTGTAGTGAAAATTATATATGAGTGGTCCACCCTTATCACTTAGGGGTATGAAAAATAGTTTTCATCATATTGAATATACACACAAAATTTCATAAGAATCGGTCAAGCCGTTTCGGAGGAGTTTTGTTACAAACACTGTGACACGAGAATTTTATATAATATAATAGATATAGATTTTTTCCGGGGTTCTGATTACGTATTGCATTTTAAAGTAATAGAGCTAATGCCACTCCTATGTCACATGGATATTAACAGCATTTAGCTTTAAATAAGTAAAACAAAAACAGAATCGCTTTAATAATTCAAGAGATTTTTCTTGTATACACGAAGTGTTTGTCTAATATTTATAAGATATAACTTTATATTAGAGCTTTACCAATGATTTTTGTAAATAACTTTTTATTTTTTTTTATACTGTCAGTAAGTCTGTGTATCGTGGCCTTTCAACACATGAATGAGTGGAGGCACTTGTGCAGTGTTTAATTACTTTGTCTTATATATTAAAGAACACATAAATCTCTTTCACCGATGATTTCCTTCAATCATTATCTTTAAAAGAAGATCTATAAATGTATGCATATATCATTTCTTACCATTATAATATCGATGATCGATGGAAATAGAATTTGTCTAAAGTTGAAGCTTCTATAGCATTAATACCTCCACGACCGCGGACACGCCGGCGTTACAGTTAACAATAGATTTCTTAGAAATTGAATTAATGTCTTAGAAATTTACCTGGAGGTGCTAAATCGGTTAAGTAATACCTTATGTAAATATTGTAAGTATTAAAAGAACATGAAAAATTGAGAATATTCATTGTTTTTATTTCATACAGTTGCAGATCTTGACACATCTCAAGGATCTGTGGGAAATATTGGAAGCAACGCACTGAACAGTAAGTAAAAAATATGTTTAAAAAGAATTTTAATGTACTGATTTACGGTATATTAATGGCACGCAAGATTTTAAAATTAGACACGATTTATTTCTACTGTTGTTGAATAAATCCAAAAAAATACATATTTTGTTTCTATGACATATCGATTAAAGTCATCTGTTAAATCATATAATAAAATTGAAACTAAACCGAATCTGTACATTAAATATTTTTTGGAAAATCTTATTTAAATAAACATTATTATCGATACAGAAGCCGAATCTATAGTTTTTAGAATTTTTGTCTGTCTGTCTGTGTCTGTTACCGCATCACAGAAAAACCACTGGAGGGATTTCGATGAAATTTGGTATGGTGATAGCTGGTTATCCGGGTCAACGTATAGGATACTACCATAATACTTTATACCGTGGGAAAATATTTCATTTCTGAGAAAAAATGCAAAACTACAATGTAAGAGTACTATACTAATTTGTAAAACATAAAAAAATGATTTTTGGTCATCTAAACGCGGGCGGAGCCGCGGGCAATGCCATTTATAATATAATTATTAAAATGTATTCTATTCTGCAACGATTGCAGCATGTAGAGTGTAAGGTGCTTCACTAGTTTTCATTTCAATAGAGCTACTTATCTAGTCTATGTAGTGTAGCCAATTAATATGAGTTCGATTGCTATATAACAAAATTTTCTAAATATTCAGATAATTATGTGTTTCTTCTTCACAAAAAAATCTCGTTTACAATATTTCTAGTTATTAGTAACTTTACACTTATGTACAGAACCGTACTCATCACAATAGAATAACGAAATGTCCATACAAAATTCCATACTTTTACTTTTGTATTTATTGGAAGTACTTGCTTAATGTTAAGACTAGTATATTCACGGAGGCGTTGTAATGTGTGCGCAAGATATTTTACAATATCCAACTATAACGATTTTAGGGTTTCGCTGTAATTTTAGTGAGACTAATGCCCGATTTCACCAACATCCCATACCTATGTATGGGATCCCTAGCTTAAAAGTTCCCCTAAACTAGCTTCTAAATTAAATTTCGTTTTACCATCGTCAGAGCCCGTATTTCTAGTATCTATATTTAGGTTGCATTTTAACATTTAGGTGACCATTAACTGTCGGTGAAACAGAAACTGTCCCCTAACAGCCCCCTAACCATGCTTAGGGGATCCCTTAAACTTAGGTGACGTTGGTGAAATCGGCCATAAGTAAACAGTACGCTGCCTAACAATGGTTGACAGCCCATTAGGTCCTCATGGTGAATTTTCATGGTGATAGAAAATAATAAACCACGTTATAAATCTGATCATCCGTGTTCACATGAGTCATGCTCAGAAAAATAGTCCTCAAAAGAACTTTGTTATCCAGAACCACTAAGGTATACGCAACTTTGTGTATGTGAAATATACTCGTAGTATAATATTAACAGAACGTTTAAATTTAAAATTTAAATATGACTGCACGTATCGATTAAAAATCACGCACTTGTAATTGCTTAATTGGGTTGAAACACATACTATATTTATTGTACAATGTACATATACGTATACATATTCATAATTTTAAACGAAACTTAATGGTTTGCTTTTGTTAAAATATTTTCTATGCCCTTTCAGATGCAGGCTCTTTGGGTAACCTTGGCAATCTTGGCGGTGAGTCTACTATTTCATAGATAAGAACATCATTAGACACGTTTGGCTCAGTTTGTAGTAGCCCTGCTTGCTGTGCCACAGCGGTCGCGGGTTCGAGTCCCGCTGGGGGCATTCATTTGTGTGATGAACACGAATGTTTGTATTGCAGTCATGGGTGTTTATATTTATAATATGTATGTATTTAAAATTAAAATTTTATATATATATATATATATATATATATATATATATATAATATATATATATATAATTTTATATATAAAATTATATACATGTACTGTATCAACTATCTGGTATCCATAACACAAGCCTCGTAGCGTACCATGGAACTAGATATATATACAGATAGATACAGAACTACCTTCCGAGCCATTTAAATTTAAAATATAAAAATTGACGATTCACAAGTGTTTGTAAAAGTCTATTAGAATAAAGTACTGACATTTTAATTTATTTACTTGCTGAATTTTTACAAAAATATTACCTACATATATTTAGATCTCGTTTTTTTTTCAATTTGCCTATATAATTAAAAATATATTTTTTGTATAAAATATAGCTAATGATTTTTTTAAATTAATTGTTTTTCAGGTCTAGGGCTACCATTGGGTATATTAGGAAATAATGGAAATGGCGGACAAAGTATGTAAAAATATAATCAAGTCATGTTATATCGTATTAGATATAGAAAGTTTGTATATTGTGATCTTTTGTTGTATTTCAGATTCAGGAATATCTGTGGGAAACATTGCTGGGGTTCTTCAAACTAGTACGTATTTTGATGTATAGGAAAAATCTATAAAAGTATAAATATATTTCTATTATTATTTGTTATATCGAGAAGGATTCAGGATTCTTAGATAAGATGTCATTCTTAGCCCAGTCGATTTGACATTACAAAAATTTTTAACGACACGGACTGGAAGTCTAAATTTAGATTCTCGGGGTACCAGACCCGTTGCGTCATCCGCCATCTTGAATTTAAGGGTTGATTTTTGTTTATTGAATAACTAATTTATTTTCAATTTTACACGAAAAATAGTCATTACAAAAGTTGTTTTAAATTAAATTTCCTACAATTTTGCTTCTTATCAAATTTTTCCTAGTATTGATATTTTTCTATTTATACCCGAAAAGAGGCGGTGAATTTGTGTATATTGAACAACTCGTTTATTTTCAATTTTCGGCGAAAAATTGTGGTAAACAAAGTTGTTTAAGATAAATTTTTCTACAATTTTGTTTAGTATATAGATTACTACTACTAGACACAATAGTTTTACACTTTGATTTTGCTACAGTACAAACAGCTGTTGTATGAGCTCAATATGCTAGCTATTTTGATGTTAATCACAGGCTTGTTTTTCACCATTTTGTTTAATTATTTGCTTACCATATTCAAACAATAATTATTATAATTTGAATACGAACTTAATTTTAAAATACTCTCTTAAAACTATTTTCCACAGATATAGGCTCTAGTGATGTGGGAAATATTGCTAATATCGCTCAAAGCAGTAAGTAATTTTTTGACTAATATTAATCCTTATTAAACATAATACGTTATCGATTGTCTAATTATCATACACTCACTAATAATACTAATACTATTGTAGGTTCATCAGCTTCTGGAAACAATGGTAATGGCGGTGGAGGCGGAAGTGACAACGAAAATAATGATCAAAATGGTAAATATATCGATGTGGTGTGTATTATATAATTTATGTAATTGTGTGAATTGAGTGAATAGAATGAAAAAGTCTTATTGTTGGCCAATATAAGACCTTCCACCCGACCGATTTCGGCTATGGCGGCCAATCTCACTGAGACTTCGGCACGACCGATGATATATATGGTGCAGGATCGATAGCTTAACGTGCTTTTCGAGTCACGGGGGTGAAACACCACAAACTTTCTCAAATCCATCCATGTAACTGGGACTTTCTTAGCAGAAAGATTCAATAACTGAACTTATACCAACCGCTACTCGAACCCAGGACCTGCGGATGTCCAGCCGTACATATGCTAGCCACCAACGAGGCAGATAAATCCAGATATAGCTTACCGTTGAGGCACTCAAATATAAAGCGCGGGCTATATTTGGAAATTGCTGAGCATAACTAGTATTAAGATTTAAGTACATACACATCCTTTACGCTATAAACTAATTCATATCTACAGTAATTAATTATAAACATTGGTTATTTTATATATTTCAGATTCAGGGTTGTCAATAGGGAATATCGCTGGTGTCCTTCAAACAAGTAAGTAGCAACCATTACCTGTTTATGAAGAACAAGTTTAACGAAACTTTTCGAATATCGCCACCATCGCGTTAATCGAGTAGGGGTTTATTTGACCTTATTCTGGTAGATTATTATTATTAAATGTCGTGATAAGCATTTTTAACCCCCAACGCAGAAGAGAGGTATTATTAGTTTAGTTTTGTATTTGTGTGTCTATCTGTGGCATCGTATTACCCAAACGGTTTAACCAATTTTAATTTAGTTTTTTGGTTTGAAAGGTGACATAATCGAAAGTGTTCGTAGCTACAAATCAAGTAAATCTGTTCAGCCCTTTGCAGGCTATCAGCTCTTTTCTAGACAGTAAAAGTATATGAGCAATTTCCACAAATTCCAACCCATTCGAAACTTCATATCCCATTACTTCAAAGACATTGCAACGATATGGTATTCTTGGCCTGATGCTGCCGTGTCACCTGGAATCTGCAAAATCCTCACCTTTTTACCAACATACTGCAGAGATATTGTGTTACACCATACCCATAGGAGCTGAGCAGTAGTCATAAATGTCAACAAATCTGGCAGACTTCTTGTGTAGAAGTATTGTAAAATGATATCTATGTATACATATAATAAAATTTTAACTGAGTCGAATCTGTACATTAAATATTTTTTGGAAAATCTTATTGAAATACTCATTATTATCGATACAGAGGCCGAATCTATAGTTTTCAGAATTTTTGTTTGTCTGTCTGTCTGTGACCGCATCACGAGAAAACCACTTGACAGATTTTGATGAAATTTGGTATGATGATAGCTGGTTATTCGGCTCAACATATAGGATACTTTTTACAGCGGTAAAATATCTCGTCTCTGAGAAATCTATACTAAACGTAGATTGTTGATTGTAATTGTAGATTGAACGCGGGCGAATCAGTGGGTTCTGCTGTTATTATATATTATGCGATATATCTTATTTAGCTCAACGCATACGCATAATACTTACATAAAACTTACCTCTTAAAATAATTTATTCTATTTACAGATATAAATGTTCCTTCTGGAAACAATGATCAAAGTGGTGAGTTTTTTTTATAAAATCCTTTACATTAAAACCAGTTGTATTTTTTTTTAAATAAAACTATTTTTTTTGAACACTTGTGTCAGTTTGTCGTAAAGCATTCAAAGCTTCGGAAAGAAATTATGTCTAATAAAAAACCGATAAAAAATCACAATTTTTTGCCTACATTTCAGAAACTATTATTACAATTATAAATAGTGTTAAAATATATATTATATTTTATTGCAGGTAACTATAGATCAGAAAATGGCGACAACAATAATTCCAACGGTAAAAAACATTTTATATCTATTTTTTATATTACTGTTGCTCAAACATAATATTCCTGAGCTCTATTGTTATTTATTAATGACACCAATGAAAAGTAGTTTTGTATTGCTTTTAATATACTAATTGAAAGTTTAAATAAATTTTAATTTGTATATTACTAGCATTGCCCGCGGCTCCGCCCGCGTTCAGATGACCAAAAACTAAATTCTTAGGTGTTACATATTAGTATACTCTTACATTGCAGTTTTTGTATTTTTCCTCAGAAATAAGATATTTTCCCGCGGTAAAAAGTATCCTAGGATCGCGCGCTACATCGCCCGGTTTATATAGCTTGAGCAGGCGGTCGAGCGATGCGGGGCAGAGGGGATGGACTCGCCGTAGGCATCTCAATGCTCGCCAAGCATTAAAAATGTTTCGCTACTAATTACTTCTAACAACGATATCTCAAAAACTATTCATCTGATTGATTTAGTGTAAAGAGCAATTTTAATCTGCATTAAATGACTAAGCTAACTAAAATATTCATTTGGATAAGGATTAATACCGAACTAAAGAAAATAACTTTGAAAATAACGTAATGTTTTTAATTAAAAATGTTAACATAAAAGTGGTTATTGTAAGTCAACCGTAAGAGATAGAGATATGCTATCGCGGACTTTTTTGTAGCATTTTTATAGATTTTGAATTCTCTAGTACATTACTTAACTGTATCTTTGCTAGTTTACGCGGCGTTCGCGTGGAAAGTTCCCATTTGGCGAGATTTTTTGCGACCTCTTCAACATTTGTCGCCGTATTTCAGCTAATTTACATAAAAGCATAATAAATTATATACCTAAACCTTCCTCAAGAATTACTCTTTCTATTGTTGAAAACCGTATAAAAATCCGTTCAGTAGTTTTCGAGTTTATCGCGTTCAGACAGACAGGAGGACAGACAGGAGGACAGACAGGAGGACAGAAAGACGCGGCCGGGGGACTTATTTTTACAATAAGTATAATAAGTATAGATGTTGATAACATCGTTGGTTTAGTGCCTAGCATACGTAGCTGCTAATCTTGTGGTCCTTGGTTCTAGTTCCGGGTTGGGCCATAATATGTTTTTTTTTGTAAAATACTCAGTAGCAATTTGGAGTTGGGAAGACGGTATTAGTTTTTCCGTATATTCTCTAAGTATATTAGTCTAAAAAAATTAAGTCCATCACGTTACGTTCTACGTAAATCCTAATGTCAATAGCTTAAATAGGAGATTTAATAGAAGCCGAATCTATATTTTTTTTTCTTAGCTATAGCTTTGGCTGGACGAATTTTTATAGCATTTGTGTTTTTATTATATTTTGTAGATATCTCAATTTTGCTTTATTTAATATTGGTACGTAATTTTAATAATTACAGACAACAACAACAATGGTTCCGGTCTAAATATTGGTAATATTGCCAATATCGCGCAAAGTAGTAAGTAAAAAGAAATTAATTATGATTTTACATACATTAACTTTTAGACGTAAATAAAACAAATAAATTAAAATAATATCAAAAATTGCTTAACATAATTACAGTTAGATTTTTACAAGCAGTTACAGAATAGTGAATTAAATTTAGACAAAAAGTATTCTAAATATAATTTAATTAATATTTGTTAATTAATTTAAGATAATTTGAATTATAAGTTAGAAAATTTATGTTTTATTATTTCATGACAGATGTACTAGGTGGTCAAGGTGGTATTGGGAACATCGCTGGTATCGCTCAAAGCAGTAAGTTTCACGTTAAAACGAGTGTTTACGCCAAGCGAAAGAAAATAGATTTATATTCTCTATGCGTTATTTAATTATATTTAAACCGTTCTATTTTAAATAGACCATTGGTATAGACTATATTCTTATACTTTAATTAATATTGAGATTATGTGTTGTACAATCATACACAATATGCATGTATGATCAAATCAAGTATTTATTCTAAGTAAGAATCGAACCTTGTATGTAGCCAACCGAGTTATTCAGACTCGTATCAAAGGAATATACTTATGTAATAAAATTATTAATTGTTTTAGTATCATCGTAGTATTACTAGTAATCGTATTTGGTTGATTCCCCATACAAACTTTCATCCTAATTTTCACCCCTTTAAGGGATGATTTATGGGATAAAAAGTATCCAATGTCCTTCCCAGCGTCTCAAACTATGTTCTTACCAAATTTCATCTATCGGTTCGGTAGATTCAGAGATTACCCCCTACAACCTCACAAGCCTACAAACTTTACCTCTTTGTAATATTAGTATAGATGAAATTGCTTTATTTACAACAAGCTTTCATAAGATTCTTTTGCATGTGTATAGTAAAAACCAAACCTTGGAAGTCGATTTTAACGTACTTAACTGTCGTATCGATTTAAAATATTGTATGTAAAATCTGCGTGACATTATATAATTTGATATCATGATGCTAAATAATGTGAAATAAGGAGGATATCGGAACTTTTCTATGAATATCAATAAAGTTTCGATTTTGGGCTTACTTGAACCGTTTTGACGATTCGATCTTAGTCTAATTTAAAAGAAAAAGATAATTTCCTTACCCCTTCATAATAAAAAAAATATCAGTGTATAATTAACCTTCGAATAAACCTAGCAGATGCAGATTATTTTATTTCTTAAAAAAGTTATATATTTTGAACAGTAAAAATTTCAGTTATACATGGAAATGGCAGTTTTTAATCTTAATTCATGATGTGATGAAGTAAGTAATTTTACTAAATATCGACTTGTTACAGATATCAACATACCCGGGCTAGGTGGACCTAATTCTCAAAACGGTGGATTAGGCAGTAAGTTCTCTACATCTAATTAGTTTATTATTATATAGGTATAATAAATAGGCAAAGGCAAAACAATTCACCTCTACTGCAAAAAATTTTTTGGAAACAGTATTTTTTTTATAAATAATAATTTTTATGGTAGATTTTTGACCATTGAGCGAATACAAGTTAGAAATTTTTTTAGATGTTCAAATAATTATTGACCGCCGAGAGAATATATATATCTGCAAAAAAAGCTTTAGTAAAAAAATTATCTGTATTAGTAGTCTGTATATAAGTGGAGGTGCATTGTTCTCTGATTAGTCAAGATTTCGTGTTATTGCAACTCTTTTGTAAATGATTATGTAAAATTCATTTCAATTTCATAAAACTAGTATCATACTGTAAATTTGACTTTAAAAACTTTTTGAATTTTAACCCGTAAGATAGTGTAAAGAGGTGGCTAGGTTTATATCGAAAACAATATTTCGGATGTCAAATTACAAAAAACAATAACCCGGAGAAGCTGCTAGTCTCTATATACAAATAATAACTATATACATATATAGATTTATAATAGAACTAACATAAGATTATATTCATAGATTATTAAGTTAAAAAAAATTTAGTTTCAGATTTAGCTGGATTGATCAATTTTTTAAATAACAACGGGCAAAATAGTAAGTTAATTTTACTTTGTTCTATACCACTATAAAAATAAGCTATGACTAAGAAGAAGAGGTTAAGAAGAAGTTCCGTTGTTTTTTAGTAGGTAGTAATAGCTTTTCTGACCGGTGAGTCCCATATAACTACCTGTATGGATGGTAAATATATATATATATATATATATATATATATATATATATATACATAAAGCTATGTCCTTAACTTTCTTTGAACGTTCACTGCTAACTTTCGATGATATTGGTGTACACATACTTGTATGTATGTAGATTGTTAAGTTGTTTTTAGACAATTCTAAGAGTTTGTGTTGATATAAATTTAAAGTATCTCCATGAATTTTAGTTATGTTAATTGTATGGAATTTAGTAATGCCTTAACAGGGGCCGTTCTATGTGTAACATTATTTATTTATAACCATACATGTATATTTATATATTATACTGTAGTTTTCTATTAAGAATTGTACATAATCAACTTGCCTGCATCTTTTAGAGTTTACATTGTTACACCTTTTAGAGGTCTTATAGAATGCATATTATTGCAGTCATTGGTGGAGGTGGTATCGGCAACATCGCTAACATCGCTCAGAGTAGTTAGTATCTTGTCTTGTATTAGTAATTTTTTCCTATTAATTTAAATTAAAGATTAAAATATATAATAAAATTCTATTTTCAGATATAAACCTTAATGGCAACAACAATAATTTCAGTAAGTTATAAATCGTTTTTATTTTATTATAGAGGCAAGATTTCATGAAACAATAACTTTAAATTAACTAATAATTATAATAATAGGAATTTCCCAAACAAAAAATAGTAATATGATTTTAGTTCTAGTTAGAGGTTTTATTACACAATGAGAGAATAGCTTTCTAATAAGGTGTTCATACACTCTATAACATACCTGCACAGCTTGACTATAGTACACTTAAACAGCGCAGGTAAACTAGATTATAGTATGTTTAGCAGCTTTTTATGACTCGTTAATTTAGTTTTGCTGTGCAGGTACTCTGCATACATCCTAAGGGGTATCCCCTATTCACAATACAAAGTAACTTTTTACCAAATAAAAATTTCAATTTTGTTTCAATTAAATTGTTACTTTTAGACACGACGTATTCTTTCGGTAATGTCTTTATAAATTATAGTCTATATGTTACTTTAATGTATAAACCATATTAATGTAAAGTTTTATCAAAATCCGTTCAACAAGTAGTTTTTGCGTGAAAGAGACATCCATAGAACGTCACAAACTTTCGAGTTCTTAACATTCTTTTTCATTCTCCGTTACTTTTAGATGAAGAATATAAGTTTGAAAGGCCATGCCAAGTGTTTGACATTTATTGTATAAGAAAGTACTTCGCCGAACACTCGATTTGCAAGGAATCATACGGACCGACGCCAGATCCTATGTACAGACCACAATCTACTATTTTTTTGTCAAGGATCAATCTCACTGTAACAGCTAATGATGTTCTTTATGGCGGACTTAATGGCAGAATTGAAGATTTTTAGTGAGTTATTTTTTTTTATTTACATGTATCTAACACAGTCAGTCAAATAATTATTAAAAAAATGAGAAAATATAAAATTATCTAATACATTCTTAGATTTACGCGAAAATTTGATATTTTAAATAAAACTATCTTTCCGGATGTTTTCGCGGATTTATTTTGATTTTTGGTTCCCGACTTTTTGAATGCCTTACAGTTTACAGCAATCACGGTCACAGGAGAGACTAGGATTTTAGACGTCTCAGAGGTCATTATGTTCATAGTTATACAGAGAGTACTTACTCACAAAATTATACAATGATTTAAAAATGTATGAAAATGGCACCAAAGTACCTACCTCATAATATTTATTATTTTAAAGTACAAATAATGTCGGGGAACAAAAATCTAAACAAATCTGCGAAGAAGTCCGAAAACGTAGTGTTATTCTAAATAATAATATAAGCTTATCGATAAAAAAATCCTGATCAATCTCTTCGACGAACCAACGGTTTTTCATCGTTTGTATTAAAAAAACAAACATCGGAACGACCCAATTACTCCTGATTTATTACAGTCATATCATCAGGAATCCATTTGTATAGAAATATGAATAATAAACTATGGATAAAAATAGATTGTCTAGATTGAATTAAGTGGACCTCAGATATGTGGGCTCTGAGGTGATGTGGGCACTAGTTAACTACAGACGTGACCATGATGGTCGCAGTAAAAGACACTGTTATTAAGGTGGTTGGGGTATTGCTTCGCTCGGTTTCGTCCCTAGCTTGATTCCCCATACAGACTTTCATCCCCATTTTCACCCCCTTAAGGGATGATTTTCGGGATAAAAAGTATCCTTTGTCCTATACAGGGTCTGAAACTATCTTCTTACCAAATTTTATTTAAATCGGTTCAGTAGATCCAGAGACTACCCCCTACAACGTCACAAACTTTACCTCTTTATAATATTAGATAACATAATAGATTTACCTGATTTCTCGCGACAGTGATCGCAATCGTAGTCGTCTAGACTCACACATACACACAAAATTTCCTATTTATTTATCCATTTTTTTCAATTCAATTCAATTTTGTTTAGTGGCTTCTACAAGTGCCGTGTTGGCACAATTCATTTCGCCAATGTCAAGTAGAATGGAGATGACAATTTATGTATTCATTTTTTTTATTTCAGCATCAATAAAGAAACTGACAGATTAGTGTTGGCCGTCGAATTCAGAAACTTGACATTTTACGCCAAAGACACCTACTACAGGTTCCATAGACGAGCCAGAGAACCAATCGTTACTAGGGACTACTTATACTTCAATTACCGTAATAATTTACTTTTATTATAATATTTATATATGTATATATTAGGCACAAAAACACACTGACACTTTGTCTAAAAACTTCCATCCCAGCGCAGGTGTTCGCCAAGGATTTTTGTTCAATGTTTACACCGAACTCATAATACGCATTACCCTTGAAGACGGGACAGACGGCGTAGTTATTGGTGGCTACAAGATATCCAACTTGCGCTACGCTGACGATACGACCTTGTTCGCGACTAGTGCTCGAAATTTAGAAGAGCTATTGCTCAAAATGGAACGTCAAGTAAAACTAAGATGATGATAGTAGACCGAGCTAACAATAATTCGCCCGAAGTCACTCAAATCGCGAATTGTGAGGTTGTCCAATCCTTCATCTATCTAGGCTCGTTTGAACACTTGTTTTTCCCATATTTTTATACGCTGCAGAGACATGGACTTTGCGACAATTCGAGAAGAAAAAAGTTGATGCTCTGGAGATGTGGTGCTGGAGGCGAAAACTTAGAATATCATGGACCGAATTTCGCACCAATGTGTCCATACTCCAAAAACTCGGCAATAAACAACGCCTTTCGGCAGTACTAAAGGGTCGCATCCTAAAGTTCTTTGGACACGTCTCCCGGCGTAAAAGCGACTCCATTGAGCGCCTTGTCGTACAGGGCAAGGTGGAGGGCACCAGAGGACGAGGACGATAATGCATGCGATGGACTGACCAAATTAAGTTAGCTGTGGGTGGTCCCCTGCATGAGTGCACCAGGATGTCGACCAACAGGGAGAAGTGGCGATCAATCGTGAGGAGTATCACATCTGCTCCTACAGAGACTACTACGTGATGACCACGACCGCTCTGTAAAGAGTGTCACGAAGAAGAAGAAGAAGATATTAGGCACAGTAAACGAAAGTAGTTCATAATATAGTACTTTTTAAGCCAAATACTGAAGAGTTCTGATTTCATATAATCTTAATATGTAAAATACACATGTCACGATGTTGGTCTGCGATGAACTCCGAATGTAGTTATCCGATCTTAACGTAATGTTTTTCAAAATGTGCGATTTGTTCCAACTTAAAAGACATGATAGATTTTATCCCGATTATTTCCTTTATTTATTGCAAAATTAACGACTTTCATATGTGGGATATAATTATAACATAATGTAATATGTACGTATCCGTTAGTAGACGATAGAGAACTTAATTATGTTAAGTTAGAACAATATTTTTTTTTATATTCCAATTTAGAACCACTAGTCAGATTTGAAGAATTCTTTTGCATTTCAAAGGCTGTTTATTGAGAAAGGCTGTTATAATATCGTCCTAGGAACATTCAAAAAATATGATTCTCTTCGATTTTTTTGTTCATACAGTAAATATTGTGTTGCGATCAAAAACTAATTTAGGATACTAATTATATAAACAAATAAAGAAAAATAACCAATTGTTTTAAATAAAATAATTTTGCTTTGCAGAGTCTGTGTTATCTACAATAATAATTCCAAACACCAAAGACCTTCAACTTGACAAGAGTGAAGTTTTTGCATATACAAATGACCGCTTACCGACATATAGTATTGGACCTCAGGGGTTTAATAGTCAAGGTAAGTACGATATTACAATTACTTTTACATAAAATTAACTTCATCATCTATCTATACTAATATTATAAAGAGGTAAAGTTTGTGAATTGTGAGTTTGTGAGTTTGTAGGGGGTAATATCTGGATTTACTGAACTGCTATAGATGAAATTTGGTAAGAAGATAGTTTGAGACCCTGGGAAGGACATATGTTACTTTTTATCTCGAAAATCATCGCTTAATGGGGTGAAAATGGGGATGATAGTTTGTATTAGTATGCAAGTACATATAATAAAATTGTAATTAAGTCGAATCTGTACATTAAATATTTTTAAAAAAATTGAAATAATCATTATTATCAATACAGAGGCAGAATCCATTTTTTTAAGAACTTATATCTTTCTGTCTGGGAACTCATCACGAGTCATTGTGATTATGAAAAAACGCAATTTTTATATCTTTTCCGAAAAACTCCGAGTGCAGTTCGGTCGTCCAGGTACTTGAATATAATTCAATCTATCTTTCTATTGTAGATTCCACAGTGCAACTAACTAGGACGCAATTGGTCTCGGATATACTGACTACAACTCAGGAGTCCCAGCTAACAGAAGCTGCTTATTACACATCTACCTATATACAATATAGTATTTGTGACTTTGGCCTTAAAATATTGTAAAGAAATGTACATAGAATTGAATAAATATGAAATAAATATGCTGCAACTATAGTTATGTTTTATAATTATTTTCCCTTTCCATTTATCTCTAAGAAAAGTATACTAAACTACTATTTTTACTAGACAAATAACTTAAGAATATAAAATTTCAACTTAACAATTAATTTTTCAAATTTAAATCTTATTTAAATGTTACTAATGATTTATTTTTCTAATTCAACCCTTATAAAATTCTGATAGTTGAAAAAAAATTAAAATTAAACGACCGGAAGCAAATTGATTGAAAATACAACAATAAGATTTTCGACATACTAATTTAAAATGCAATTTTAGAAATGTAATATTTAGTAAGTCTATAGATTTCAAAAGTTGAATATAATATATTTTTAAAAACGAAGAGGCACGCAGTGCCAATGCCAATTGTATAAGATTAAGTAAAAAACACATCTTTGGGGCAACTTTTGTCAATCATGTTTTGACAATTGTGGTCTAAGATCCGAACCTAAATCGATCTTCACCGGGCTGATAATAGAATGAGACCTATTTTATAATAAATTTAGTCTAACTCACTTGGGAAACCGAGTGAAGCGGGTTCAAATCCCGGGTCACGCACCTCTGATATTATCAGGCGCGATCAATTTTACCAATATTACCAAGTGCTTGTCTTACGGTATAGGAAAGCATCGTGAGGAAACCTTCAAATCTGAGAGAACCTATCAAGTTTTCGAAAGACATGTGATTTCCGCCATCTCGTACTTGGCCAGCGTGGTGGACTATGGTCTGCTCCCCTTGTATTGAAGGGAGGCCCATGCCCAGCAGTGGGACGTTAAAAAGGGTTGAGTACTAATAAAATTCTATCAAAATATTTTCAATGATTGTGAGATTTGAAGTAATAATTTTTGAATATATTTATATCTATAATATATATGTACTAATACATATAACAGTAGGTAACAAAACTTATATATTAGTCTATTTGATGCTATTTTACAAGTAATCTTAGTCATATTAGACCCTTCTATATAATTATTTAACATCGCCGTAGCTCAAGCCGGCATGGATGACTATATACATACGTCTAACTACACTTAGGATGTCTTATATTCCGCAATAGCAAGGAGTTTGTGCGGGATTGTTGATAGATTTACGATAAAATTCCATTGTTACGTCAATTATAGGATATATATATATATATATATATATATATATATATATATATATATATATATATATATATAACTGCATACTTTTACTTGGCTCGTTGGTGTGTCCCTTGGTGTCAAGCTGTTGCCTTTATGGTACTCTAGGTCATAGATTACCTCCCCCCGAAATTTGTTCACCCAGTAGTGGTGGAGAGGTTCATTAGCGTTAGGCAACCCAGGAAGTTCTGTTGAGTTTAAGTGGGTAGTACTAGGTTTTTAGCCGGTAAAACCCACATAACTACCTATATGTAGTATGTATACACTATACAGGTGGTAAGCGTAAATGCATTTCCCAACATTAAAGAAAAAAAAGCTCATAGGCTATCTATGTACCAATTTCATCTAAATACGTCCAGCCGTTTCAAAGATAAGAACTAACGAAACAAACTAACGAATTTTTGGCATTACCATTGGGCTTTGAAATATTTTTCTGGCATAGAAATAATGGATATAATTCTTGGTTCAAAAATATAACTTTCTACTTTAAATAAAACTATCTTTTCGGATTCGGAGAGGGCCTCTCCCGTGACTATGATTGCTGTAAAGCATTCGAAATGTCGGGAACCAAAAATCAAATAAATCCGCGACAAAATAAGAAAAGATGCTTTCTACTCTAATTAATTAATTATCTTTTACTTTTCATATTTTAGGATAAATATATTTTTTTTGTTTTAAATAAATTACCATTGTTATACATGAAAAGGCATCATTATTCTAAGTTTAAACTGAAGAAGGTCGTATACCTGACTTAGGAATTACAACACCGAGTCTTTGAGAGCTGCTGCACTGATCGTGTTCGTAATAGAAAATGTACTTGTGTTAGTTTTAACAATTTTTTATTATCTCCTGCACATATAGTTAGACTCAATGGCAATGGGATTGTAACAAACTCGGGACCGAAATTAGTTAGGAATATATTATTTGAATAAACGTTGTTTCTACAATTTTTTACGTTTCTTGTAAAAAATTGCATTGATTTTCTAAAAAAAATATCCATCATTATATATACTTATATTATAAAGAGGTAAAGTTTGTGAATTGTGAGTTTGTGACGTTGCAAAGAACCGATTTAAATGAAATTTGGTAAGAAAATAGTTTAATGCCCGGGGAAGGACATAAGATACTTTTTATTCCGGAAATCATCCCTTAAAGGGGTTAAATAGGGGGTTAAAGTTTATATGAGGAATCAATCTAAGCCTAACCTAATTAAATAAATTAACAATTATACATATTTTTCCTACTTCGTGTTGAATAACAACTTTATTTATAATAAGTTTATATTGTTTTATAATAAGTTTATAATGTTTAAAATTCAATTAATTCGAGCCCATTATTTATATCAATTTGTGTTTATTTAATTACTGTTTCATGTGAACTAAATGAATTAAAAATAACTGATTAATTGGATCCTTGACTATTCACTGTGATAGATTAAAATATTTCAATGTAAAGCATATATAAAACATTTACATTTTATCTGGCTATTAATTTTGACACAGGAATTCAAGCTTTTAGTTACATACTAGCATTGCCCGCGACTCCGCCCGAGTTCAGATGACCAAAAACCCAAAT